CCCCAAAACCCCAAAACCCCAAAACCCCTGCCTATTGTTAAAAATTGAGATACTTTAAGACATTAATTAAAAATGGAGTGAACAATTTGATTTGAGAACTATTCAAAAGACCGTCCTCCTTATATGCTGAACTGAGGACATCCCTTCTGTCTTGGATGCTTGAAGGTAATGGTTTCAGGAAGAAACATCCAGTGTCCCCTTTGCAAAGAAAAACAATTCGTTGATTCTGTGGAGACTGTCGAGAACCATGTTGTTGTCAATCTGTCTATCCTGAACAAATATCGAAATTAGAAACGAAGAGCAAAAGGATCCTTCAAGATATAGCATCAGTAAGGACCCATCTCATGGGCTGAACATTGAAATTCCAAATGGCTTCAAGTGCAGAAAGCATAAGTTGCCAGTTCACTCATACGTCAAGAGCAACAGTGCTCTAATGTGTAACGAATGAATTGAAAGCAGTAGCTATGATGCTGAAAATATCGAGCCAATTCCTCAAATTCTCAAACAACTAAACTCCAGTCTACACTCTTCCAAGGTTAAGAAGGAGCAGTGCATGTCTCAACTAAAAATGTGCCAGAAAGAGCTAGAAATATTCTTTGAGAAATAACAGAGATGCTACAAGACACAAGATCCACGATTACTTCTCTTCTATAGTCAGTATGGTTAAAGAAATCGAGCTGAAAGCTCTTGCAGAATTTGAGCTTAAAACTGACAAAGAGCTTGAAAAGTTACATCAAGTATTTAACGAAATCAAGTCAGTTAATAAGAACATTCAGAGTGACATTATCAACATAGATAACCTCTTCGCCATGGATGATAAGACAAAGGTTGTGTGCATGGATCTATTAGAGAAGATAGAGAAAGAGAAATAACGAATATTACAAAGATATAGACTTCCCGAACTATTTCCTTGACATTCAAACAAAGCCTGATAATATCAGTCTAATCAAAGATGTCGTTGAAAAGTCCTTTGACTTTAGCTCAGAGATCATTCCTAACAGAGATAAGAGGAAATTGTTTATGAATATGTTTGATTTAAGATATATGTGGTATTGTCATCGGTGAAAACATAAAAATCTGATCAAAAAGGCGCCTATCGAGTGCTCCAGGTGCCATATTTACAAACCTCTTGAGCTTTATCCGTCAGTATTCAAGAGCAAGAGTGAGATCACAGATGGAGAACTTGAACACCTGAAACAAAGAGGAACTGAAGAGAAACTAAGAATGAGCGCCAACAATCAAAGCTTATTCGACAGAGAGGAAGGAAGAGCATGGTATGCGGTTGAAGCCAAATGGATGTATGACTGGAAAATGTTTGTTCAAAACAAAAGAGACTCTTGAGTCCCAAGCTTTAAAAAATCAGACATTGACAGAATCGGAATCCTTGATCCTGGACCAATAAGCAACAATATTCTTTTCAACTCCTCTGGTGATTTGAAGGAAGATCTAGTGATTGAGAAGGACTACAAGATGGTTAACGAAAGAGTCTGGAAAACACTTTTTGACATTTATGGAGGTGGCCCAATTATTAAGAGAGCTCAATGAAATATCTATTCAGAAGTTATTGAAGCTAATGACGAGTTAGAAATCCTTGCAAATAAGATCAAAAAGTCCAGAAAAGTTGATAAGAGAAAATTTAAAAAGAAAATAATTCAATTTAAAGATAAAAATGAAGAACTGAGAAAAGCCATCATTGATGATAGGAATTATAAACTTGAGGATGTTGTCAGAGAGAGAAGAAATTCATTTGAATGTTTAAATAGGCCAACTCTTCAAGACCAAAATGAAGAGGAGAAAGAAAATTGAGAAGCTTCAAGAAGAAACAGGCCATCATCAATCCAGAGAGGGATAAGTTCAATCAATGGGGAATCAGTTAAAAAGACTCTTGGAAATTTGTGGAATGGAGTTTCCACACAGTTTAACAGATATTTTAAGTAAACAGAAATTTTCAATCTGACAATTGTTTACTGGGGTTTTGGGGTTTTGGGGTTTTGGGG